AGACAATATGATAACTTGACATCCCAGGCCTCTGCGGGTCATTCTTCAACATCATCATCATCGTCGTCATTATCATAACTGAGTGGAGGCTACCATCTGAGTTCCCCCTGCTGTCAGCACCATCACTGAGCTACCCTAACCCCTGGCTCACTCCAGGTTCAGAGAGGGTGTCCAGTTCCCTTTGTCCCCCTCTGTTCCTCCCAAACCACAACAATACAGCAACAATATCTCTGTGTTCACCTGTTAACACCTGGCACTGCAAGCAAGGCTCACTACTAACTCCCCATCAGCCAAACACCCTGGTTGTCCCCGCCAGACGCCATGTGGGACGTGCCTACCTGTCACCAAACCCAATGTCCTACATACAAAACACACAGAGGCACAATAACCCGCTTGCTGCTCACCTGTCAACACTTTCACATGGCAGCTGAGTCATGCTAACATATAGATGATAAATGAAAAGCACTTAACCAATCAACAACACATCAGGTAATTAAAACGGTCTCAGGGATCATCTGCTTTTTGAGTCCACAGTATGTTTTCACGGTCTGAAGTTAGGCTCGACCTTGAGTGGGTGCAGAGAGAGTAGCAGCTAACATGACACATTGTGCTGACAAAGAAAATGATGTAACAACTAATCAAGACTGATGTGTTGTTGCAGTTCCCTTCCAGCTCTGATCAGATAAGGAGAAACATCCATGGGAAGACTGCAGGCCTTCCACATCCTCTTTGGCTTGGCTGACATGACAGGGCTGGGGCCAAATCAGCCGGTAGGCTTAACTGTATTATTTCAGTCATTTGTGTAACACCCATATCAATCACACCAATCTGCAGTGTGAGTGCTGTAAACATGATGTGGACTCACGTTACTTGACATGAACTCAAGTCACATTTGTACAGAGATTCCTCTAGACTTGTGTATAAAATGAGGAGGAGTCAAAGTAGCTTTGATTCCTTTCATGACATAAAATGCCATTAAAGTGTAAACATGAATTCTTTAATGTCTAAAATAAATTCATGACAGGGCTGGGGCCAAATTAAAGAACTCAAGTAACAACTTGTGTTTAAATATAATTTGACACAACTTGACAATCTCCTCAAGAAATGGACTGAACCATAAATATCATACTTGTGTGTCTCTGTAAATATAAAGAGAACTGAAAGTGTGATGTATTGTAAATGTCAGCATGGAAAGGAAACTTTGAGATCTCACATACACTGACATGTTGGCAGAGCCACTCAGACACATGATAATGTTCTGTTATGCTTCACCAGGCAGGCCTCCCGTTTCTTTTTAAAGATGATACACTTTCAACACAAAGTTTCCCACTGTGTGCTTCATAAACGTTCTATTCCACATGACTCCAACCCCCTCCCCACAGTTTGCTTAGGGGCTGTAGGCTGTAAGCTCTGCCAACTCTCACGAAAGAGAAAGATTAAAAGAACAAAATATATAAACCTTGCCCTAACATGTTTGATTCAAAAACTCTTGGAGATCACAGTTATCTCCTTAGACAGTTCTCCACTTTGGCAAGTCAGCAGTGTCCAGAGGGCTCAGTGTAAATCTTTGTGTCTGGACAAGACACAGACAGATGTTGGTCTCTTGGCCCGTCACTACACCACATTTGAACATATCTCATCAACTACTGGACAGGTTGCCATTTAATTCTGTCCAGACATTCATGGTGCCCAGAGGGAGAATCCTGAAGACTTTGCCCACTAATATTTCCTCTGGCGCCAACAGCAGCTTTATATTTTGGGTTTTAGTGAAGCATACTGTCCACTATTGGATGAATTGTCATGAAATTTGGTTTATTTTGCTGTGGTGCCTAAATGTTGAATCCTAATAACAGGTTAACAGACAAGTTAAAGTTATCAGTTACCAGTGAAGTACTTGACGGGATGAATTTGCATAAAATTTTGTACAAATATAAAACATCTGCTTTGTTTCCGGACAATGAATCCTAATGGTTTGGGTGATCTCCTGACTTTCATCTTGTACAAAAAATGTTTTTTGTAAATTTATGAACAAATATTTGCAAAACTAGAGATATACCAATCAGCTTAGCTGTACTTTGTGTTTTGTACTAATCAGAAAATTTTAGCAGGCAAACCAATAATCAGAACAATATAGGTGAGGGTTGGGCTTCATTTAAAAAATAGATAAATGAATAAAAGATAAATACATTGGTACAAATATTTCTAAACAGCATCAGTTTTTTATATTAAGTAAGGCCCCATCCATCCATCCATCCATTTTCTTCCGCTTATCCGGGACCGGGTCGCGGGGGCAGCAGTCTAAGCAAAGATGCCCAGACTTCCCTCTCTCCAGACACTTCCTCCAGCTCCTCCGGGGGAATTCCAAGGCATTCCCAGGCCAGCTGAGAGACATAGTCCCTCCAGCGTGTCCTGGGTCTTCCCCAGGGCCTCCTCCCGGTGGGACATGCCCGGAACACCTCCCTAGGAAGGCGCCCAGGAGGCATCCGAAACAGATGCCCGAGCCACCTCAGCTGGCTCCTCTCGATGTGGAGGAGCAGCGGTTCTACTCTGAGCTCCTCCCAGGTGACCGAGCTCCTCACCCTATCTCTAAGGGTGCGCCCGGCCGCCCTGCCACTATACTTCACTCACTTATTGCACATTATTTAAAGGACCATGACATTGTCACTACATGT